ACAAAAAACCCCACAGCAAGATTACAAGAGCTGGGTAACCCTTAGTGCTATGTCCCACCTTGCTGGAAACACAGGTCAGGATACTCACCCTGTGGATTCTTCTATCCCACTGGAAAGGTTCATTCAGAAAATGCAAGACTAACCTCATTAACACCACATCATGCAAATTTCTGATACTCTTGTCTTTTGCAAAGCAGGCTGTGAAATATCTACTATACAGGACAGCAGTAAGCATTGATATCATATATCTGTCAAGAACTGTACTAATAATTATTGTATGGACAGCTGCAAGACAGCGCTGCAGCTTGCAACTGCTGCTTTGGACTGCTTTACATACTGGCAATAGACATCACCAGTGCTACTACATTCAGCATTTCATGCAGTGGAAATAAAGGGTTTGTGTCCCTCACCAAAGGGTGCCTTATGGAGACCTTGTACTTTTTGCAATGCTTTTACAGCATTCACAGTCTTCCAGAATAAGATACTTCATAATCTGTAATTAAATTTGCACAAGGCTTTGTTCCTGCTCAATGTTTTCCTCACTCCAGGGAGCCTGAGAAACAGCATGGCCAGCCGGATGCATTTTGAGTTCTTCTGACTCGTAAATATGCTTTTTATCTAGAAGCTACCATGTATTTTCCCATTAATTCCTATGGTGCTAACTTCAACTTGACACACAGCAGATCACAGAGGACCCTTTGTCCCTGCCCCGGTCACACGCACACACACACACACACTCTCTGGGTAAGGTGCTAGCCACACTAAAGTAAAAAACCTTCATTAACTCCAGGGGCTAAGATTTTATCTTTGATCTTCTATATGCTAAGGTCTTTTCTGTACAGAACTGTCTCTATGCTTTTTAGTCCAAGGACTTTCAGAAGTAATAGGAAAAAGTTAGCATTTAAGAACTGAATGACTTTCTTACAAGGTCATCTGCTGTAACTGGTTCTCCTCTCTTGCTGGAAGCTACTACCATTCTGCCCAGTCGCTTTTTCATATCATCCAACCCATCAGAGAGTGCTAGAATTGCCATGATTTCACTGCTCACTGTGATGTCAAACTGAGCCTGCAAGAGATGAATGAAGAATGTGAACTCATCAAGATTCCCTAGCAGTAATCCTTACCCCTGTTAAATTCTTGAAACAAGGCCAATCATCACCATCATAACAAAAAAACCCACAACACCAAAATGCAGACATACAAATACAAAAGAAATCCAAAGGATTACTCTCAGAACATACTTCACTTAATCTGGCCATTTTAAACTAGATTTTTTTCTGCAAAATTAAGTAAAAACTACTTATTCCGTTGGTATTACATGACTCTCTCCTGGCACATACATTAGTGATTCATGTAAGAATGCTTAACAGTAACAAATTATATTTGAAGACTGAGCTTACTAACTCATCTGACTATCACTAAACAGTACAGTAAGTGACAAAAAAAGAGTCAGATTCTATAGAAAATGAAGGGTAGAATTCATCTGACATAACACAGACACCTCCATCGAAGCTAAGCACCCTAGGGACATTTCAAGTCAATAGAAAGGCTTTTCTGAGCACAATTCATTTGAACTATTAATTTGACAGTTACTTAAGGGATGAGAGGAGTCACAGCCCAGATTGCCTATATTACTCTATTGATTATATAATGAATCTGGACAACAAGCTTAGATATTGTGTCTAATTTTGGCCAGATACATCCCACCCAAAGCATCTGCAGTGGTGAAGATTAGCCATTGCCATGCATCATATTTACAGAGGGCACTTGTGCACCACTGTTGTTATGCCACAGCCATCCCAGTTTGGGAAGCCAACATTCAGGAGAGAACAGAGAAGGAGGGAACAGACAATAAAACTAAACACTGCACTGGTAGCAAATTTAACTGCTTGGTTGAAGGGACTTTCTGCTTTCTCTTTAACAAGGTACTGGTAAAAGATGGAAACATCTGAAATTACAGAAACTTGCTTTAGGACCACATTTTTCAAAGTACTTTTTAAAACATGCAAGAAAAGGGAACAATTACCGTTCGTGAGAAGCCTTTTTCTGTTGGAGATTGTCCAATAGTGATTTTCCTAAGGAACCTGTCATTTGTATCCACCACTGTGAGGAATGCAGAGAGAAAGATGAGCAGTCACATTGCAAGTCATAAGTCACATCTATGCCCTATTACAACCACTCAGCTAGATCACCCATGAAGATAGGATGGCAGTTTGAGATACCACCCTCTCCTAACGAATGGCAAGTGCTACTCAACATGATTCTTCCCCAAAACTAAACTGCAACAAAGTTAAGATACCCGCAGTCACATGCAGACCCTGCACTGCATCCAGAGGGAGTCTACTTTGCTTTCCGTGCATTAACCGCAAGTGCAAAGCCTCTCTGAAAAGCAGAGCTGCTAGTATTATTCCCATTGCTTTTTCACCATCATTAGTCAATGTGAAATCAGGAAATTGTTACAGACAAAAAGAAATAAAATTCTCATTTTATAAGTTAAGCGATAACATGGTCAGAGTCTACCATGTAGCGAGAAGAGTTTCACACAGCCCCATTAACTCAAATTACCTTGGAAACACAAACTATCAAATATTGGTATTGGCTTAAATTTGCTGTTTCTTACTATCTGCTTGAAAAATTCTAAGTATTTTATAAAACATTTCCCATGAGGCAGACTACTTTAGCCCCATTACAGGTTATGAAGCAAATTTTGGAGAATACATTTCATACTGTATTTTAATAAAAAGAAGAAAAAGCAATACTCCTGGGGTCTAAATCAGAAAAAAATGTCCATATTTGAAATTTCTTTTGCTAGTGAAATATGAAATCTGCCAGACCTGCCTTCAGGTGTCTTTAAAAACCTTTTAAAAATCTGGCCTTTATTTGCTGTCAGTCCCCAACAGAGCAAGTGGGCAGATTAAAACTGAATTTAATCCCAGAGCAGAACCCTCTCCTTGCTCACAGAGATTTCTCAGTCAGGTAAAAAGGCTGTTGGCTACAGTTGCCAATCTCGACTCTCTCAGTTACTGACAAACCCAGAAACACAAACTTGCACCAATTAGTGAAGTCTTAATCTTTGTGAATTCAAAGCAGATTCAAGTCCCTGCATCAGACCCTTTAGAAACAGGATCCTAGCTGCAGGCATCTATCCCACCAAACACTCAGAAGGAGACGCCAGCCTTGCTCTCCTTCCCACTCTCCTAGGAAGCATAGTTCCTGCTGCACTTGCAAACCTCTCTTTTGACGAACGTTTTGTTTCTTAGCAATTCTTTCATTTAATGGCTCTTGTACCTCTTTGCCATGTTATGGTGCCTGGGTCAATGTCCAATCTCACAAATAAGCTTACTTCTTCGTTTGTCAAAGCCGTAGGATCAGTTTTGTTAATGCCCAATTTCTACGGAAGGAAAGGACAAATAAAAGAAAAAAAAGGTATAATGAAAAGATTCACAGAAATTAACCTTTCACTAGAGCAATGAGCCTTTGGCAGCATCATCTGCATATTCAGAAATAAGGAGGGGCTGCCTTTTTGGTGCCCCTTCCCTTCTTCCCCACAACAACGTAAGACGATCCGTATCAGTGTGTATCTGGAAGCAGAGCTTGCTGCTGGCCAGCTAGTAAAGGGCAAAGCAGACAATAGAGCTCATTAGGGCAGGTTGTCACCAAGCTTTGTGCAAGGCATCTACAGAAAAGAGTGAGAGCTCCGCAGTTCCTTACATGCCTTGTTCTAATCATTAGTCTCACATACCTACATCCATTTCTCATTAGTTTGCCTAGGGTCACTGCACACAGCCATGCGTATTTAAAGACACTGCTTTCAGCATGCTGGTTAAGCAACACAAAGGAGGAATTAAACAATTCAGTCACAAGGCTGTCAGCATCCCAGAAAGCTGATCTTGAACATACTGAGAGGATGGGCAGTTTGCCAAGTTGCTTAACTGAGAGAAGAATTATCTCAAGAAGCCTGATACAAGCGCAAGCTTAGGAATGAGGAAAACGACTGAGTTGATTTATGAACGAGCAAGCTTTTTTTAATTAACTAAACAGCTAAGTCGTATTTTTCTCCTGAAGAACAGCAGAAGAAACTCTGTTCTTTTCCTCTTCAAGCACATCAGTTAGAAAAATAAATTTATAAAGAAAGAAAAAAGATATCATCTTTCTGGAGTATTAGCATCCTGTTCACATCTCAACATTCTATGATTCTAAGAGCACAGCAGTACGTCAGGAACACCAAGCAATATGACATAGCTTCTTTGCTCAGCAGTGGAAACAAACCACACATTCTCTAATTGTTGAAACATTATAGCCAATTAATAAATCACAGTTTTAGCTTCCTAAGCAGTCTGACTATTGCTCCTGACTTCCAAATGGGCAACTGATCCAGCCTGAATGCTGTATAAACAGGTTTGTACTTTGAATGAGTTTAGCAGGCCCCAGGCTCTCCTCCTAGCCAGAAGGTCCAACCCCAGTGCAAAACTATTCCTCTGTTAATCCTCATTTTTGCAGAAGTCAGGGACACATGCTAGTTCACATTAATTTCTGAGGATCAGAGGAGCTGTGGTCTGCTCAGGGACTGCCACTCAATGACAGGGCTACTCATCTAACTGGGAAATCTTTTTTGAGGAGAGGAGGAGTAGGCAATGTAGGGGACAGGTATTTTTTTCCATTTTCCCTGTTTTCTCAATCTGGGTAAGAGAAAAAATTCTGTGTTCTCTTTTTGCTGAATTTTATAAATTGCCTTTTTTGTGCTGCATTATCCATACATCAATGATTCTTCCCCTTGGGGCCGTCATCTCACTGTTTTCTGTGCTGTAACAAGGGCTACCATACATAAAGTATGTAAAAGCTAAATGCCAGCAGAACGACCTAGAGGACAACACAAAGGTTTCTGTAACCTAGCTCTGCTTATGTAAAGGATGAGGAAATGGAATGGAAACAGAAACCAATGTGAAACCAGTGAATTTACCTGCAGTCTTCGGATCTGAATGTCTGAGAACTTCCTAACACCGTTGACAGAAGGCACCAAACGGTTGTAGAGAGCCTTGCAGAATGAAACAGGTAGTTAATTAGAACTGCTGGCACCCCCAAAGCATCTTGGCCAAAGTGGGCTGGGTTCAAATACATCACAAGAAAGGATTGTACCTGGTCAGGCTGAGTTAGCTCATGGAATATACGTGCGTCGACAGCAGCAGCGACCAGGTTGTTGGCTGCAGTGATAGCATGGATGTCGCCAGTGAGGTGAAGGTTAAACTACAGAAGATAAAACATATCAGTTACCTCATCCTGCTGCAATTTTCATTTATTTCAATTCGTCGTAGACAGATGGAAAGAGAAGTATTAATAGTGATGTTAAAGTGGGTGAGGGTGGAGGGGGAGAGATTGCTCAGTATAGTATGTGGAAGAGAGGAAAGAATTTCTCTAAAACAGAAAAATGCCTCCCCCACATTTATGTCATTTTACAAACTTCCAGAACGAAGCTTCCAAATAAAAAGGGTTTTTTTCACCAGAACAGTTCTCACAGGCTCCTTAACACCTGAGAAGACCATGGCATGGAACATCTGCATTGCTCCTCCTTCACCTTCCTTCTGACATACTCTGATTATTTGCACAACAGGTTTCACACATATATTATCTTTGTGGGAGCAGCAGCAGCTTCAGCTATCTGAGCGAAACTGAAACTAGCAACCTTGTGTAGTGCTAGCAGTAGAGCTGCGGTTGCACAGAGCTCTGCATAAGCTAACCACTCAAACACACAGTATCGTAGGCAGAACTTGTAGACCATGTACTACACAGTGACACTGTTAGTAGTTTTCTTGGTTTTATCTCATTAGAAGATAGTTTGAGGGGGTTTGTCTACATGAGTTATCTGACTGCACTGTAGCTATACTGACAAATGGCTTGGGATATATAGCTTACGTGACAAACTTGCATTACGGCAGGGGTGTAAAAGGTGTGGTTAAAACAATCCTTTTCCTCTGTAGCAGAGCAGCAAAGGAGGAAGATGAAAAGGAGACATTAAAAAAGGTGATGTGATATGACAGACCTTACAATACCATTTTGTTCAAGCCTTACCACTGTGGTCTTAAAAACCAGATAGCTAAAAGCAGAATGCAGCTAGTCACACACTGATTATAAATCCTAATTAGTAAATGCTAATTGTGGTCTCATTCTACATACATGCAATAAGAAGCAGTTATTACTACCTTGGTTCTGCAGTATGAACTCAAAAGTTTTTCACTTCCTAATCTTTTCCTAGGATGAAAGCTGCATGCAGAAATATGAATAATGTATCAAGGTCAGTACTGCAAGTAGTGACTTCAGTTTTATTTTTACATATACATATATATGTAAAGTAGTGACTTCAGGGTTTTTTTTTATATATATATATATAGACACATATATATACACATTTCAATTTTATGAGACATACATCGATTAAAACACCCCCACAAAACTATGTGTATTTATACCATGTGGGTCATACTTAAAGTCCTTTCAGCCAGTTTGGTTCCAAGAGCGGGGCTGTTTCCCACTGCTGCACACAGCCAAGTATTTTGGCTTGTCTTATTAACACTCCCAAAGAGAAGGAGATTATTTTTCCTTTCACATCCATCATTCACACACGTTCTTGGCACCTGACTAAATCAATATTCTGCCTCCTTAACATTTTTATCTTTTATGGATTTGCTGCATCAATTGGAACAAACAGCCCTTTTGATCATCTCTGCTTTTCTTCCTAAAATTGCCCTGTGTCAATCTATAGTGCATGAGACAAAGGTAGAATTCTACAGGCAATTACTCTGAGAGTTGAGAGAAGCACGAGAGCACGTGCTACACGTGCCTTTCAATTCCCTGCCCCCAGACACAGGATTTTACTTGTTGCCAAGTCACGTCAGAAATATGCTGCAGTGCCAGTCCCCCACAGGCTGAGGTCTTGGCATTACTGATTCCCAGCTTCTCTTTTCCCATTTCATGTTAGTAATCTAAAACACAAGTACACCAAAATAGCTCACAGAAAGGGTCGGTGACCACTGCTGCTGACAGAACTACTTAATATGCTTCCAAAACATATTAAGTCATTATCATTTTCATTTCAGTGCTGCAAGGAAGAGGCACAGGATGTACTTTGCTCAAGGGTATACAGCAATTTAAGGCAGAGAAGGGGAGGGAACAGAGGAACTGGGAATTCCCAGTTCTATGAAGTTCCCTGACCATGCAGGCACCCTTCCGAAACAACCAAAGATTTTTTTTTTTTTTTTTTTTTTTAAAAAAAAAGCTTTGCTGAAATCAAGCATCCAGTTCTTGGGAGTGCTACACTGGGTCATCAAAAAAAAAAAAAAAAAAAATTTTGTAAGCTATCTGATTGCAGTATCTCTTCAAGGTCTGTGAGCTATTTGTGTAATGAGGCTTTGTATAAAGAATTACCTCTTCCATGGGGATAACTTGACAATAGCCACCACCTGCAGCTCCACCTACAGAGAGACAATAGTCAAATCATGCAAATAAAGGTCTCTCTAGCCCAGAGTGGTATTACATGTGTTTGCCTAATGGCTTTAAGAAGGCAGCTACTGTTGAGCAGCTTAGTTTAAATCCCAGCTCAGCACTTGAAGACAACACTGAAGAACTTACCCAAGGTTCTTCTTTCTTGAAAGAAATGCAATTGTAACTGGGAGTTATGTAAAACTACAATGCAGCAGAATAAAATCTCTGAATGTCATCTTTCCCCATTTAGTCCAACTGCAAATAACAGAACAGCTCATACCTTTTATACCAAAGGTTGGCCCCTGAGAAGGCTGCCGAACACAGGCAAAGACATTCTCGTGAAGATGTGCTCCTAAGGCTTGAACAAGACCGACAGTGGTGGTGCTTTTCCCCTCTCCCAGGGGAGTAGGAGTTATCCTGCAGTGAAAAAGCAGAACAGACACAATTAAACCTTTGCAGTGGGTAAGACTCAAAACATTTACAGGGATAAAACAGTCACCCAGTGATTGCAGTTAATGCCAACTCAGATTCTGGATTGGCTCAGACTTCAGCTAATCTCTTCATCAGTTCAAAACTGGAATGAGATTCGCAAATTATCACATACCTGCCAAAGACTTTCCTCTGAAACAACTTGCTAGTTACTGTTGAAGGCGGGCTACTAGACTAGGAGACCTTTGACTACGATCCAGTCTGCCCTTCATAACCCTGACCTGCAGACCAAAACAATTCCTCTCCTGAAGAGAAATGTTAAACTACATTCCCACTATTTGCCACAAGAGATAAACCTATTTCCCAAACCAGTAGATTTTCACAGCATGATTTACTAAAACCCAGAGCACCCCATACAGTCACCTCACCAAGACAATACAATGACAAGCCACGCCAGTAAAATTTCTTTTCACCTTGACATCACTTAAGTGATGCCTCAGTTAAGGAAGTACCTACCCAGTAACAACAATGTATTTGCCATCTGGCTGGTTCTTCAGCCGTTTCAGAGCTGACAGATGAACCTTGGCTTTAGTTTGGCCGTAGAGCTCCACCTCATCAGGGAGCAGGCCAACTTCTTTTGCAACTTGATCAATGGGCTTGGGTATGCAAGACTGCGATATTTCAATATCACTTAAAGAAAGAGAGCAAGGTCAATTTATAAGTCAAAGACTTCCCACAAATTCCCCTCTTCCGGATGGCATAAACTACAAACACCTAATCTATATTTTAAAAGGGAAGCTTTAACCCCTCCGAGTTGAATGAATCAATCCCACTGACACTGACTACATTAGAATAGACACATCCTCAGAGTTGTCTTTTTTCAAAAAAAAAAACAAAAAAAAAAAAAACCACACCCAAAAACCCACCAAACCAAACCAAACAACAATGCTCTCCCCCCGCCCCAACCCTCCCACCCCAAGAATGCCTTTTTGTAGGCAATGTGTTATGCTCCTTTATGGCATTTTGTGTATTTTCAACTGCTCCCTGGAGACTTGACACCAACAACTCCTACTTCAAGATACTAGGGTTTTGGCAAGTCAGACTGAAAATTTTCCAAAATACAAGTGTCTCACTATTTGCTGAATCAGCGACTATCTAGCTGGCCTAAAGAGTCTGTGGAAGTCCATGTTTACACCTTAATATTATCAGGATGGCCCAAACCTACTCTTCAACGTATGTGACAGCATCACTGCAGGTTAGCTCCGCTCCCTTAAGAAGGCCTCACAGTGCTTCCTCTCTACTCTCCAAACTTCAATGCACAGTCTACAGTCTATATGCATGTATGCCCCGTATTACGCAAAGCTTGGGAACAGAAGTGAATACTATACTGCCTGAATACTTCCAGTGGCTTCATTTGAAAGCATTACCTTGGAACAGGCATCTTTAGGGTAAGCTGGTTATATTGGATGTTCCATTTTCCAGCCTGGAACTTCTCCAGAAAACGCTGTGCACTCTCCACGGTGCTCTAAAACGAGCATGAGAATGCATTATAGCAACCACCACTGTATGAACCATACTGGTTAACAAAGAGGCTCAGAAAGGTTTTCCCCTCCCATCTGTCTCAGTTTGGGATTAACACAAAGTGCTTTGATTAAAGCATTTGCTAACAATCCACAATGAGATTCTGCTCATAGTTTTTTTAAAAACGAAAAAAAACCCACCATACCTATCTATCCATCTGCCTATCTATCTTCCAGTGTGCTGGATATTTGGGGGTGTTCTGTGCCAGCAGGGTTTCTTAAGCAAAGCAGGAAACAGAGGGAGCTGGCTTGTACTGTTAATCTCCTCCTTTTTATCCAATCACCCTAAGGATAGTTTTAGAATTACAGCTAGAGCATTGTAAGAAAAGCCCATTTCTCACTGTTCTGAGAGACCACATTAAAAAAAAAAAAAAAAAAAAAACCAAAAAAACCCAAACAACCCACCAAACCCAAAACCCCAAATAAAAAAAAACGCTGTCCTAGCATTTCCTTAAGGTCTATCTTCTTCCTCAGTTAACTAAACCCAAACTGTTTGGACTAGAAGTTGGAAATCCTAACTGGACCTCTGTAAGAGCAAGAAGGAAGCACCAGTTGCTTTGGTAGTGTGCTGTTGGTCAGCAGCAACATACCCCAAAGGCAAACATAGAGGAGATGACCAGCAGTCTCCCAGTCTGCCCACATACCTGCATTAACATGGCCACAGTCATAGGCCCAACGCCACCAGGAACTGGGGTGATGTAGGAAGCTCTTTCCTTTGCTGTACTGTACGCCACATCTCCTACAACTCTTTTTCCACTGGGCTTTGTGCTGTCTGGGGATTTAAGGAAAAAATAAGTTACACATCACATCTCACCAAAACAACAGAGGAGGAGGCACTGACTGAAGCTGAAGTCCTCTGCTAGAGTAAACAAAACAGAAGCTGAGTACCCAGGAAGCTGTAAAGAAAGATAAAAAATTAAAACAACATCACAAGATGAAGCTGTTATCATCGTACTTCACTCGGAGAGTGTCAACAGCTCATGCAACGTATCTTCCCATTAAGCCATATCTTCCCATTTATACTCAGCCAGACAGATCTCCCTTTCCTTGAGGATGCAAGTATTTTCTCAGTGGCACATGGCCCACAGGGCAGTCTGAAGATGACTCCAAAACAAATGCAGGGGGACCAAAGCACAGACCAAATCTTACATCTGTGCAATAATAAAACACAAATGGGACACACAATAGAGATGTCACCTGAACCATCCTCTCACAGCTCCTGCTGTATTGCTCTGAAGGATTAGTACAGCTTCCAATTTGAAGAATATATAGACCAATGGTCTAGAAGAAGTGACAGAAGAAACATGGCTGACTTGTTCCAAAAACCAGGGTTTATTTGCTCTGTTCCATTTTGGAGGACATCTAGGCCTTACTATTGAATAAAATCACCTGCCTTTACAGAAACTGAAGACGGAAAGTGCTGAGCTTTTCAATTACTCATTGCCATTCTAATGATGAACTGGTAAATACTGCAGTTCACAGATCAGAGTCTTGTCAAAACAAACCTCATAGGTGGCTTAAGAGAGCTCCAGCAGAATAATCTCCTTTCTCTCTGTCAAAAAAAAAAAAAAAGCTATATCCTGCTGCACTACATGGCCTGACAATTCAGAAGCAGATATAGCACTTTTTTCCAGTGGTGACCTTTAAGCTCACCCATAAAGAGAGAAAAAGACAAAATGCATTAGTAAACTAGCACAGTCATCTAAGGAACTCGCTGATTATAGACACAACATAACAAAAAAAGAAAATTTAAGTTTCTCCTGGCTTGGCAGATCCTCATTTCATATATGAGGACTCTAGGGAACTTTTAAGCCATGTGAAAAACCTGAAGACAGATTTTAATGTTGTTACATTGAAATATTATATTGGATACAGTAAGTGTATGTTTGAACAGAACACAATCAATAACTTTAACATACATTTGGTGAGGGGGAGGAGCAGAAGAGAAACCAAACTCCTGAACAGCTGATAATGTTAAAACCAAAGAAGGGAAAAAAAGCAGCTCCTGCCAACACTAATTTTTAGCTGGGTTGTTACTGACAATTAGCTTGGATGTTTGCTGTGTTTGTCTTTTAAGCAACACTTCTTCTCCCTAAAGTTCAAAGCTTGAACAACATCACAGCTGTTAAACAGCATTTCTACAGCCACTGTCAGCTTTGTTACCTGAACTGCAGACCAATCTGGACTTTCAGCCTAGAGACCAGTTCAATTAAAGTTGCAAAAGGCAAATAGCGTAATCATATTTTCTTCCAAGGATGCCAACCAGGCTTACCAGCCACCCTGGCCAGGAAGACTGCAGGCCCGAGAATAAAGAAAACAAGGGCTGAATTAGGCACTCCAAACACAAACAGCCTAACCTGTTACACGCACAGAGTGATGAGCACGAGCTAAACAAACCCCCAGTCCCTGCCTCTGCATCCGCACCTCACACCAAGCACTGCTGAGCACAACCTAGGAGCCATTCAGTTACCTTTAAAATATTCTTTTGAAGGAAAGCTCACATACAACACTTTCCGCCTCTTCCCATAATTTCACCTTCTCAATATTTGTCTCATTACTTTTAAAAAAGAAAATGAACTAGATACCGAGAGTATCAGTGACACTATAACCATTCCCGGTGCCTGTGTCTTCTTTGGTCCAGTAGGTTCTCTAGCCAGCTGGAACACATGACAGAGAGCATCCAAGGACTTTGAGATCAAAGAAGTGAAGGACATACCTACACATATGGAATGAACAGGTAGGATGATCTCCATCTATCTCCAGAGACAGCTGCATGAGCTGCATGTCTCCAGAGACAGCCTGAGTGCAGCTTCTGGACCGGAGCTAATTCACAGACAAGGGTTGGGATTACCCACATGGCTTCCAAGCAAACTTGTGCCAGTGTACACCGAACGGTAACAAATTTCTGGTGGATATATGACTGCAAGCACACAAGACCATGCATGACCTCATCTATAAAACATGAGACCACGTGCTTGCAGTCTGCTTCTTTTTCTGGACACCACTGGGAAAAGTGTTTCACAAGGGATCCAACACAATCTGATCCTATAGGCCTGTGATGCCAGCTTGATTCCCAGTACATGAAGATATAAACAGAGCATCAAGTCAAGACTTTCTGTATCTTTCTAGCTCCTCTGGTGTTTGAAGAGCATGCCACTGAAATCCACAGAGGCTGATCCCCCTTTGCTGTTCTCATATCCCACTGTTCAAGGTTCCCTGTTGGCTAGGGCTGGAAAATCCCATAGCAGAGGACTCTGAACAGGGCTGCTTCCTCCATCAGGACTCAGAGAGACACTCCAGAGACTATGCCATCTCTGGGAATATCCTCTGCCTGCACTGTTCTTCCTTACTGTAGCAGAGGCCTGGAATAAGGCATTCAGAGTATTTGCTGGACTAGCCCTCCAACCGCAGCAGTGAGGAGAGAAAGGCAAATACAATCCAGTTTGGAAAGGGAGTAAGACACACTTGTCTGCTCTAACAGAGGTTCAGGAGATCCTCTCTTCCTCTCTCTCTACCTAGATGCCTGAAAGAAATTCTGTTCAGCTGTAGTACACATGAACACAAAGCCAGATGTGCCTAACTGCCTATTCTAGCCTCCAAACTGGCAGCCTTGGAAGTATACAGGCCACCCTCCATTCAAAAGCACAACAGCTGCATTTGCATGGCGCTACACGGCTATAACTTTTTTTAACTCAAACTTGGCAAGCCTGCATGAAGTTAATGTCCTGATATGTCAAATCACATTGGAAACTTGCAAAGACTCTTGCAAAGCATAGACATATCCAGAGACTGCCATGCCCTCCAGCTGCAACTAACATCTACACCCAGGAGGCACCCAGGCGGGTGCACTTACAGCTATGGTAAGATGTATAGCAACTGTGCTATTTCCCCACCACCACGTTCAGAGCACCATCATGGCTAGCAGCAATATTCTGTCTGTACAGTGATGTAGCTGGAGAAGCTGGCAAACTAGCTGCCATTCTTTCTGTAGCATAGCAATTCCCACAATTCTGGCACCAATTTCCCAAAAGATTCATCTGAAAACTTTTTCACAACCTATCAGAAGGGAAGAAAGAGGAAGGAAAACTCAGCAGCTTCAGAAAAATCACAGAAAAAAAGAGTCTGTGGCATCCATCATTTTGCAATCTGACAATTTCCATGGTACTCTATCAAGCCCTGATTACCGAGTCTCAGAACGCCATAAAGCGTATTGCCATGTAACACCGACTAGGCTGAGTGTACAAGAAGCTCAGATCTCAGTGCACAGCCCTAGGCAGACTAATTGCAAAGAAACGGGGATGTGTCCTCAGAGATGCAGTTCACATCAAGCCTGAAAAAAAGGTCATACCATCACATGTCAGAAACACAATGGTAGTTTTATTTGCAAGATGTTAGTGGGGGAGACTCCAAGCCATTCTGCTTCATGCAAAGCGGCAATGACCTTGTGGGCTTTGGCAAATTGGCTAAGTTTGGGTAGCTTGGCACAAATATGTCGAGCAACAAACAGCAACAGCAGATGACTTTTTCATTTTAATTAGACAGAGGACTAATGTTTTTAAATGCAACTCAGTGTCATCTTTGAGGAACAAGACTGCTGAACAGAAATTTCTTTACATTCCATTAAATAATGGCAACAAAATGACTGATTAATTATGAAAACTACCTTTTAAAAGCCTTGTGGGTGTAGCACAGAGATAGCTGGATGGTGACTAATTTTCCATATCATTCAATATCTGTAATTTGGATTTAAAATGAGATGAAAACAGAAATTGCCAGACTGTCTGTTCCTCCTTTACAAGAAAGGAGTAGCTAAGTGAAACCCTACCCTAAAATCCATTATGTTCAAGCACTTTATTCTATGCCAGAGCCACTGTCACCAATACTCTTCCAGAAGCTACTTTGTTTCAAGACAACAGCCATTCAAGCCTAAGAAGGTAATGTTGTGATTCAACAAATCCACAGCTACTTTAAGAGACTGCTTGCCATTTATGTATTTCAAACAGAACAGCTTAATCAGATCTAACTGCGAAGTAATGACAGCAAAGCTGCACGCTCACAAGTGACAACAGCGGCAAGACTTCGCTATGTAGTTGTGGCAAATTACATGGATACTCTGCTGTAATATTTCCTAGGCATCCTCTTTCCTCTGCTGATCATCCTCGTTGAGGATAGAAAGAAAACTGCCACTGATCTGCTTTAGGACAACAACAACAATTCAGACCAACCTTTTTTTTTTTTTTTTTTTTTTTTATTTTTGGCATTTCATTTCAGAGGTTGCCGTCATTACCTAAGACAGACTTAAAAGAGAAAGAAGTCCGCATTGACTAGAAACACCAAGGAAACAGTATCCATGTACTTACTTAGCAACTGCATTTATATACAAATAAACACATCCCCACTCTTTATACATTACCCACGCACCTGGCACATGGTTAATTCCACAGTCTATTACAATTGCACCAGGTTTGATCCATTCACCTTTTACCATTTCAGCTTTACCAGCTGCAACTACCAGGATATCAGCTTTACCAACCTATAAAAAAAGACAAATAAATAACACTATCACACCAGCAGTGGAAAAACACAGAGCTTCTTCAGCAGCAACTTAGATCAGTTTCAACTGCAGTGAAACTGTGTGCTCACCCATTGCCATCAAAGGGATGGAAGGGCATCGTCAGCAATTAAAGGTAGAGAGCAGTTCCTTGGCAAGCACGAATTCCTGCATCCAGAAATTATGGCCTATTTTCACACTCCTACCCTGAACTATTGCTAGTCAACACTTCACAACCTCCTTTGAACTCCTCCCTGCTTCCCAAGTGGATCACACAGACTACTTTTAGATAAAATTAAAGCCTTCTGCATATTCTTATCTTCCTCCCTTCAAATATCCCTGCATATTCAGCTGCTCTTTTCAATGCTAGAAATATACCCAGCACTCATCAGACGGCAGCCAAGAACAACCCCTGCACAGAACTCTAAGCAACACTTCACTTGTGGCAGTACTGCTTTGTGGTTTTTAAGTCCAGGACTGCGTAACATGCAACTCCAGGGAAAGCTGATTGTAATTCAGCACTAATATTTGTTCAGACATTACTCAGTAAATTTCACAGATCTGGTCGCAAGGCTGGTGCTAGAGACTGACTAAAGCTCGTTGTCAGTTCTTGCACTGCTTCATTCATTTTGCTTAGGAAGCTGCTATCCCTTGGAATTCTTTCTTTTCATCTTCAAGGGAGATTAACTATTTTTAACATTTCATTAAGAATTAGTGCTTCAACAGTTAATGAAACTAATGACAGTCTTACTGAACAGCAACTTAACAGCATGAAGCACTGCAGTGTTTCTGATCTTCCTTGTGAGTTATATTCAAATACACCTACCCTCTTTTCAGCTTTAATACTTGCCTACAGAGCCTGGCAGTGTTGATTGCTCTACGAAATCCAAGTAGGTGGCAGCACAGCAACACATTATTGCTGTCACTCTCACTGCTAAAGAGGAAAATGGTACAACTCCCAGTCATAGAAAATAGACTGGAAAAAAAAAACCCTGGAGAAAATATTTGGTCTAGCATTTCCCAGCCATTAAAGCAAAAGGCCAGGTGGTCCTTTTGGGGAAAAACAAAAACATATGCTGTCTTGCAGGCCACTACTTGGAAAATAGGAAGGGATGATTACACTTGCCCAAAGAAAACAAAAATAATAATATTATTGTTCTAATTAAAAGCCTCTAATTAAGGGCCAAAAATAATCAGGAACCTATTCCAGCAGAATTATTTACACAACCATCCAATGAACAGGACTGGGAAACTGTTTCAGATGAAAGACAACCCAGACACAATGACTTAAGAGTAGCAATGCAGAGAGTAGCAATGTGCAGCAGATAACTACAGCCTCATGCATCCATCCTGTCATTACCTCCTCAGCCAGCGTTGAGGTCTTTGAATGGCAAGTGGTTACCGTCGCGTGATTCCAGAGCAGCAGGTCATGCATGGGAGCACCAACGATCTTACTACGACCAACCACTACAGCTCTTTTCCCTGCAACCTGGATGCCTGCACCACAGAAAGTTAGGAAAAAGTAAAAATAGGTCATTGTGCATTCTAGTACAAACTAACTCAAACAGCTCTGGAGCCTTTTGGTCAGTTTAAGTCTGGCTCTGGTACTTCAGGATACTATTTTTCTTCAGGGTTGCGTGCGATAGGGAATTGGAGTTGGGAAAGAGGACTTTAAAACTAGCTCTTTTCCTATCTGAAAAGGCAGAGATGAAATGCAGCATCTCAACACAAGTTTCAATGCGAAGCATAGCCTTGTGAGGTGCATAATTTCTTATTCTCTTATTGAACACTACTGCACTCATGAATAATGGATGGAAACCTCCTTACCTGTCTGCCTGATAAGTTCCATGCATCCTTTTGGCGTGCAGGGAATAAAGCAGTCTCCAAGGTCCCCTCTAGAGAGTTTCCCAGCATTGATGCTACTTAAACTGTATTTTGAAAGAATAAAGGCCAAGTTAGATTCCTAGCCTCATAATCACTATTCAAAATTTAAAAAAAAAAAAAAGTTTCTTTCTGGAGTAGCTGTCATGCTTTCCAGGGGTGAAGTCAGTTTACCCATCTACATCCTTCTCAGGTGCAACAGCATTGGTTATTTTTTCTGTATTGATGGGTTTATCAGAGTCAAGCGGCAGCTGCACTATAAAGCCATGAACAGCAGGGTCTCCATTCAAAGAGGCAATGCACTTGAGGACCTACAAGAAGTAAAGACCAAAAACCTAATGGCCGATAAACTGAAATATGACTGATGCAAAAGAAAAAGCACAATCCTATCTGGATTAAAAGACATGCACAATATGTTTAGTTTCTCCACCCAAGAGTATAACTGACTCACATTTTTTATTTTTAGAAAAATACCTGTTCAAGTCTCTAAATTTTACATTGTAGTGTTTTAGTTTTCTTTTAAAAATAAAAAAAAAAATCTCAGCAGGTTCCAGTTCTTTTTTCATGACTTAATATCTATGGGCAGTCTTTGTTTATAAAATGAGGACAAATATAAGTTCACCTCTTGGGCTCAAGACCAAAATTATGTATTTTTTCATTATTGGCTATATTACTTACATCAGTTTCTGTTGCTGTGTTCGGCAGTTTTATGTGATTTGCACTGATCCCAATCTGCAAATGAGAATACCAACAAGTTATCAGATTTCTGAACTGACATAAGAGATTGATCTAGTTATTGTCTCAGTCCAGCCCAGTCGCAGCTACGCTCTGTCCCATTTCCCAGGTCCATCTCCTGTTGTGTGGCTACAGTCCTATTAGTTGGACATACCATCAAAGAAAGAGAAGAAAAAAGATTAGTGCTTTGCCTACTTAGATGGGTCCATACTTCAACTGTCCTATTCACCTTTTGACATGAACAACATCATCTTGGCTTGACAGCATGCTGCCTTGAAAGGCCGGTGAAGATGCCAGCTATCACCTAGGGAAACAGGGACTCATAGAATCAGAATCGTTTAGGTTGGAAAAGACCTTTAAGATCATCAAGTCCAACCGTTAACCTAACACTTCCAAGTCCACCACTAAACCACAGCCCTAAGCACCACATCTACACATCTTCTAAATACCTCCAGGGATGGTGACTCAACCAGTTCCCTGGGCAGCCTGTTCCAATGCTTGACAACCCTTTCTGTGAAGAATTTTTCCTAATATCCAATCTAAAACTCCCCTGGCACAACTTGAGGCCATTTCCTCTCATACTATCGCTTGTTACTTAGGAGAAGAGACCAACACCCACCTCGCTACAACCTCCTTTCAGGTAGTTGTAGAGAGCGATAAGGTCTCCCCTCAGCCTCCTCTTCTCCAGACTAAACAATCCCAGTTCCCTCAGCCGCTCCTCATAAGGCCTGTGCTCCAGACCCTTCACCAGCTTTGTTGCCCTTCTTTGGACATGCTCCAGCACCTCAATGTCTTTCTTGTACTGAGGGGCCCAAAACTCATCTACGTTCCCAGCCCTGCTGTAGCATGCAGTGTGCCACTTGGTGAGAGATGCAAGGCAACTGCAGGTACAAGACATTCAGGGAAGATAAGCACATGGCCACAGGTCAGGAGAGACAGAGCATCAGCACTTCAGGCACATGTAATATAGGAGGTGATCACACAAAAAGCGGCACCAACCCACACCGCTGTTACCCCACTCGGCTAAGTGTCACGTTACACACCTGCACTGCTTCCTTACACCAAAGAGTTCAGGCCAACACTGGTTTCTCCAATACAGGCAAAGCTTCAATAAAACTATTCGATTTGCATCTTTTGTTTCATATTCAGATTTAACCTACTGTAGGAGGGTAAAAGGAAATACTAAGAGTTTGGGCATTACCTCAGCAGCAGCCTTCAGCTTCATATTAATATAGAGGTTCGAATCATCCCGATTTCCAACCTAAGGATGAAAAGACAGTTGAGTCACATTGCAGAATAGAGTCCCAGTCACAGGCTGAGATGGGCTTAACCCTTAGCTTGCTTGGCTTCCTTTGAGCTACACCAAGGAGACAGGTATTCTTGAATAACTGTAAAACACACTGATAGAGGCTATAAGTAGCTGGAGCTAACAGGAAAGCGTTCTTTCAAGTAAGAGGCAGCTAAAGACAAGTTGTCTGATCTCCTGCATAAACACTATTTACACCTGTTGAAAACCAGTGTTCTCCACAGCAGAAAATACCGCCTGCCATCTCATCTGAGAAAGTTAAATCTCTAGCTAATTAACATGATCAGCAGGTACTGATAACATCCAATTATCTGATTAAGGCTTTCAGAAAAGCTGGGCCTCTTTGATACCCAGGAATCTTAATTTTATGCACATATGTGTGCCCTGATGGAGAGATTTCTTCCACTGATGTTTTATACCTTGAGAATTTTCCTGCCAAAGAAAAACCAACAAAAAAAAAAGAACAAAGTGATGCACAAAGAGAAAGCAGCAAGTGGAACAAATGCCTGTAGTTTTTGACGGTATTGGGTGATTACAGCACAACTGCATTTCAGAAGACTGCTTGCAACATCCAGTATGTTTTGTTAAAAGTAATACTCCTTGTAACCATAAGAAAATGAGGGGCAAATAAGGAAAAGCTGATAAATAAACCATTGAAAATCCATTCCCTGGTACTTGGTAGCTATCCCTGGTTCTCACACTGATTACGAGCTGCAGGGGTGACTGCATTACCTGATCACCCAGCATACACCGGTTCTTCTTCCCTAGGGTAAGACCAAGGGGCTGTCTCCCCTTTAAAGTCTGCTGGATTTAGGAAAAGGTATGCCTCATACAGGGCAGAAATGAAGGAAGAGAGCAGGCATCAGATGTCAGCAAACAGACCACACATATTGTGCAAAAGAGGACATTCCTGACTACAGGACAAAAAATACAAGATTAACTGACTTATTCTTTGAGCTCAGAGGACACCAGATACCTCCCAAGAAAAGAGCACATATTGTGTGGGGTGCTACACGTATCAGAAAACAGCTAACTTAACTTCAGCTTAACTGAAAAATAGACAGCTGAGAATATCAGTACGAGGAGATGAACTCCAAGCCCAGACTGTTTGGTAGCTTACAAAAGTGTCAGAGAACCAAAGAGCAAACAGGTTGTAAAGGACTCTGAGACAACCCAGGATTGAAGAGAACACAGACCAATCAAGAAAAAAAATCTAGTAACAGTACAAGACAGCAATCTTTGAAGACAGTTTCCAAGGTCAGCAGTTCAACTTCCATCAAAGCATTCCTTACTAACTTTTAAATAAAAGACCTTTCTCCTTCCTTCTAAACACCTGAAGACAAGTATTCTGTAGAGATGATCTTCTTAAAGCTAATGGAAAAGAAAACCAGAAGGAAAACAAACCACGAACAAATTTGTTCCTGGCATCGAAGAGGAGCATGGTCTTTGTGTAATATAGTGGTCTTAGCACTGGAATCCAGACACAGGCACCAAGAGCTCTTCAGGAGCCCAAAATACTGAATAAGGACAGAAGCCACTTCTCTGAGCAGCCACTTTCAGTCCATCAATCCTTTGTGGCCTTATAGTTCCTTCCTATTAGATGAACTTGCTACTGCTAGTCACCTTCTAATCCAAAGACAAAGAGTTTCCATTTTTTATAGCTGCAAGGAAAAAAAAAATCAGCTTAATTCTGCCAAACACAGGCCAAAACCCTGTACTGATGAGTGCTTTTTTCCTCTGCAAGTTTTTCTGTGCGGACTCTAGCACTTACACTTCTGACACATCAAGTTCAGCAATGGGATTTTGTTCCATCCCCTGCACTCAAAGTCTTCTTGGCCAAAGGTGGTTTTGGTTGGTTCCCCCCCCGCCACCCCTCTGCTCTCTCCATGTTCTGATATAACAGCAGAGCAAATCCCTTAGTAAACACCCCATTTCAGATATTTCTGGTACAAACACATCTCTGAAAGCTGACAGGCTTTGGGGCTCACACAAATGCAGAGACTTGTAATAGAGTCTACAAGCACTGCTTCCTCTTAATAGGCAAGAAGTCTACTTCCACTATTTCACACACATAATGCAAGAGAACTGCAAGGGTGTGATGAAAGGAAAAAAAAAAAAAACCAACCCCAAAACCCCAAAACGTTTCTGGGCCCCAGTCCTTGGGAAAAGACATCACAGAACTGTGTTACCATCCCACAGGGAACTCTGCTCTTCTATTCCTTATAGAATGTTACCATTGCAAGGCAACTTTGATGAAGCTCATCAGCTGTGCACTTACCATTGCAAAGCAACACCGATTTTCTGTAGCTGTCATTAAAGAAAACAATACCTGCAAAATTGCGAGTCCTGGTCTGAAGCCTGGAAATTTCTCTTTCATCTCAACAACTTGCTGCTTTAGTCTCTCTCTCACTTGTCTGAAGAGGGGGGGGGAAGAAAAAAAAAAAGGTAGAAGTTAACCAAGAGCCTGAATTCTCATACAGTGATAAGTCAGGAGTTGAAAAGATGACAGATGGACAGACTGACAAACACTTACTTATGCCTTGAGCACACAAGTCCCAGCAATCTCCAAATAAGATTAATGTCCATAAATCACTAAGACATTTTGCAAGTTTCATTCAAACTTATTTAAAATATTTTTTAATTTTTTTTAAAGTCCACATTGTGCTGCTTCACCCTCCTCTTCACAATCTCATAGGATACAAGGGTAGAAAAAAGTAGAAAATCTGGTGTGGAAGTTCTTGGGATTTCAAACTCCCTACTCAAAAGCAAATCCTATTTCCACATATGCCATACCAAATCTACCTGTCTTCCACAGGCACCAGTCAACACTGTCACACCTGCTGTCCTGGTAAAGGATGATGAATCTACAGTGGTAAAACTCTGGAAACAAATAGGAGGTACTGTCCTCGTTTTGGCTGGGATAGAGTTAATATTCTTCCTAGTAGCTGGTATAAAGTTGTGGTTTGGATTTAGTATGAGAATAACGCTGATAACACACTGATGTTTTAGTTGTTGCTAAGTAATGCTTACATTAGTCAAGGACTTTTCAGCTTCTCGTGGTCTACTGACTGAGAAGGCTGGAGATGCACAAGAAGCTGGGAGGGGGCACAGCCAGGACAGCTGACCCAAACTGGCCACAGGGATATTCCATACCATATGACATCATGCTCAGTATAGAAACTGGGGGAAAGCTGGCCGGGGGGCTGCTGCTTGGGAACTGGCTGGGCATCAGTCGGTTGGTGGTGACCAATTGCATTGTGCATCACTTATTTTGTATATTCTTTTATCATTATGATTATTATTTCCCTTCCTTTTCTGTCCTATTAAACTGTCTTTTCTCAACCCACGAATCTTACTTTTTGGTTTTTTCCCCTGATTCTCTCCCCCATCCCACTGGGAGGGGAGTGAGCGAGCGGCTGTGTGGTGTTTAGCTGCCTGTCGGGTTAAACCATGACAGGTACCCAAAGATACACCTCTTCTACAGTTCGTCAATACTATGTGTTTCTATTTCCTGCCCGCTTGGCCTAACCTAGGCCGAGTAGGCTGCAGTCCTACACCCACCTTCCTGCCTCCAGTCTGTTTCTGTGCTTGCCAACACTCATGTGAGAAAATGCCCCCAGCCCGAAGGCTTCCAAACAAGCAAAGATTTTTCCATGGGAGCAGGAAGGAGAATGGGAGGTAGACAGAGGTGAAGCAGCGAAGAAAACTAGCTCAACCCTGGTACACAGCTCAGGTCAACTCTTCAGTGAAGACAAGTTTAAGGATACAATTATGAAAACAAAACTTTGAAATGGAAGCATGAGAGGATTCACTGATTAGTTAATCCAGCTCGGATGTCAACTCATACCCAGCTTACTATGCAATGTTTTAGAGGTAACGAGTACCTATCGCTGATAAATTAGCTGCAGACAGCTCAAAAGCCACTGTCACCACCGTCCCCAGCCTTGCACTCCTCTCTAATTTCTCATTCACTGTCTGGCCCTATGTGCATGACCCTTCACCAGGGAAGGTGGTGGGGAAGAGGTCCTGGGTGTGAGGCCCAACTGCTCTTTGGAATTTGAAATTCTGCCAAAAGGCTGGGTGCAGCCCCAGCACCACTGCTCTGTCTCCTCACCAGAGGCAGTCGGGATTCAGAGAGAAGAACTGACCAGTCGTGCCCGTCTCATGGGCTCACAGTGCTGGAAGGAGGCTGTAGCACTTCACTGCAAACATAGGAGATACTCACTCAGAGCCAAAAGCCAGGTAAGCAAACCTCACAGGACTCCAGAGGATTGACAGGTCTGTCTTCCTCCACGTGATCTCCAGCCCATGTCCCACCCACTATTCTCAAAGAGATGAGAAGGTGCTACCATCATACTCAGCAAATCTACCCTGCTCCAAACACCCTACCGTTTAAAACACAGATGGTCTCCTTGTGATCATCTACCCTCAAATCAGTATCACAAGGTCTGCTGCTTCCCAAGTGGAACCAGACTTCCCAGACTGGAGGAGGTGCTGTTGGTGCCGGTTCATTAAAAATGCGAACAGCAAGGGTACAGGGACAGAGTAAGTAGCTGATACCAGCTGGGAGGCTGTGATTCCTGCCATATAGGAAAATTCCAGGATGACAGATAGCCAGCAAAACCAACTGTACCCTGCAACTATGAGCTCCAAATCAGAAATGCCAGAGGCAAGAAGAAAGAGAAATGGGAGCAGCACATGCCTCTGCAGCAACCCAGCAGCACTGATCCCAGGGCATGGTTGCAGCTGGCCCTGCCAGAAGCAGCCCTGAGACTGTTCTAAGCCCCATCTTGGGGGAATCACACAGCCTCCTGCTCTGTCACAAATCATGCATCTCTGCTGCTGCATCCTGAATCATGCCATCAGAGCTCTGCTGCACCTGAGGAGTGGGCTCAGAGTATTTATAAGTGTTTGCATCTGGCCAAGCTGTTCAAAGTCTCTTAACAAGCTTTGGTAAAAGAGGTTGTTTTCAACCTTACTTAAGAAATAGTAGTTCCTAGGCTTCCTTTAGCTATCACCTCTGTAAAAGGCTTGGCAGTAAGACTGTCTGATGAGTTCAGAAAACAGTGTCATAGCACGCCTTGTCCTAGCAATTCTTCATGCTGGAGTGACAAAAAGTTTATCTGCTGGGTGGCAAAGCACCAACTGCCTCTCCTTACACTCCAGCTGTAAGACCCTAGGGAAGGCACCAAATCTACAGCTGCAGACACAACAGGGCCTAAGCTCACGAGCAGCCCGTAAGAACAACGCAGTCATCGCATGGAGCATCAGAAACCCACTGCGCGTGGCCTCCGAGCGGGTGCTGTGTGCCAGCTCTTTGAGGGAGCAATTTCTGAGAACAGCCTCCCGTGTTCCAGTAAGGACGGCACAGCACTGTTTTGTGGCCTCCAAACAAAAAGAAATGCAAACGTGAAATATATCATAATTTATGACACCATAAAGCCCTCATAAGGGACAGTCAACTGGAAAGGGTCTCAGGTCTGGGTTTTACTTTTGATCCAGTCTTCTCAGTGGAGGAGAACCAGGCCTACCCAAGGGTCTAGTTTCCCTCTGTCCTTTGTGAAGCAAGGCTGTTGCGTGCTTTCACCCCCAGCAGCCATGACTGTTCCCATATTATATTGCTGCCATTTTCTGTAATTAGGCACTAGCTCACTTCCCCTTCAGCTACAGAAGAAAGGTAACATGCACAAACACAAGAAGTGGTGCTGCCAGAGCTGATGTGCTTTAGGAGCCTTAAATCAAGAAATCACTTGTTAGACAGCCATCTAGTGTTAACTACCACTGCTCTCCAGTTACCAGAAAAGCCACAAGTGCAAAGGTTTGAGAAAAAATTAAGGAAAAAAAACCCCGTTAAGTCCTTGTTTTAACTCTGCAGCTTACAAGTGCAGTACTAAATAAACTTTGCAAGCCAGCAGCTATTTAGCAATACAGTTTGCAAAATGCCATTGTGGACTTCAGGTCTTCACAAAGATAAAAGTTGATATTGATAGATCAACAACATTTTTTATTAGCTGTATGAAAACACTTTTAAGTCTTCAAACATAAATTTGCAATTGTACATGGCTGTTCCTCCAAAAGCCTTCCTTCTGACGCTAAGACCCCTCCTGTGCCCATACGCTCTACAAACACACTGCAAACAAGGGTCCAGGGTCCACACAGGTTAAGGACAGCACACAGCTCTAAGCACACAGTGCAAAAGCCAGCTCCAAAGATTAAAAAAACCTGCTAGCCTTTCTTTCTCTAGGCTGCAACAGTGAGCTGAATTTAAATTTATTAAGTGAATTTCCCGGAACAGCAAAGGCCAAACCACACTCCTCCAGCTCTGCTGTAAATGGAGATGCCCAGCTCCCGTGCTAGTGCCTCCTCAGGCAGACCCCACTGCTACACCTGTGGTATTCTGTACACGCGACGGCTCGGGTGGCTGAGGTGCGAGCATACACGTCACCATACTGAAGGTGACCCCGGGCTGTGTTTCTGTCCCTTCTCTGGGTAATAGGACCCTGGGTCTATGTGAATACTGCCAAACGTATGACCTGGCAAAATACCTCCTTCAGAGACAATGATGCTCTAGAAGAGGCCTGCCCCCAAAGAGGAGGGTTTGACTTCACTGCCTGGATCGCAGATTTCCCAAAAGTTTCAGAAACGTGCATCGGACGTGCTCTTGCTGCAGCCCTCCAGAAATGGCTGTGTAAGGATGACGGCCTGCACTGTCTTGGTCAGGGCTGTTGTCCCTGTAGCCATTCCTCCTCAGAGCCTGCAGCACTGCCACTGCTCACTTTCTGTTGCCCCCACAAGAAGAAACAAAACTGGAGAAGGGGAAGCTTGTCTCTCCACACTGCAAACCTCCATGGCGCCATGTCCTAGCTAGCAGGACAACTGCTTTATCTTCAAATACTGTGAAGAGGCTGAAAGCAAGCGTGCCACAAAACATCCTACTGGCACCCCAAAGGAGAGACAGAAGGGAGCCTCTCCTGGGGGGAGTCACAGGTTGGCTGTCCCAATGGAGTGGCACAGGGATGGGAACTGCCTTGGGAAAGTCTATCTGAATGCTGCTGGTAATTCAACAGACGGCTCCGGTTGAGGGAAGACACTGTTTAGAGAACAGAGCTGGAACCCGTTCACAAGTCTCCTGCCCCACCACTGCATGATCCTGGCACACTGTCATTATCTCATGGGGGAGCTGCCTGCTTCTTTCTACCACTTCCACACTCCTACAGTTTTTAACCACTCTTGGTTGTGTCAGCTCAAACACTTGTCCGAGCATTCTTCAGGCCAGATAAATACATGAAGATGCTTTTGGTTTTTTGTAGGCTTTTTCGTCATGTCCAGAACACTAGTTCAATGAGGGCCGTGAAACAGCTGAGCTGAAGAAGCAATCATCTGTGGGGGACAGGATAGACAGCATTTGAAGAACTTT